CCTTCCGTTGGAGTTACAAGGCTGTAAATCTCTTAGGCTTTATCTTTCATAGATCCTCTTCTACTGGATTGATTGTAAATGTCTATGATGTATTGTGGAGAATCGAACGGGATGTAATTTGAAAGTGTGTGAACGTAATATAATAACCTTATATGAATGTGCTTCTATTTATTTCTGTTGCTGCTACTACTACTAGGACAGCTTTTATTGCTGTCACTACTGTTAAGAACAGGCAGTGACACAGACTGCAGCTGCAGAAGTAGAACAAGAGGAAATGAGCTGGGAGAGAACAGAGCACGGCGGCTCCACCCACTGTTCATCCCACTTGCTGGTGGCCTTTGCCTCACTTGCTTTTTCTTCATCCTTTGCTGTTGGAAAAGTTTGAGTTTAGGGTTGCTAAGACCATTAGAAGGAAATAATAAAAGAAGATTTACTTTTCTTTAAAAAACAAAATCAAACCTTGTACTACCATGATTATATGTGTTGTTGAGTGGAGACATTATTTTTTTTTATATAGTTCTACTTGGAAATATTTCCTGTAGAAGTTCAATCAACACAGTAGATACTTTGAACTCTTTTACATTCATCTGATTACTGTTTAATGAACATACTAAGAAAGAACATGGAGTATAGACTCAATCCTATCTTAGTTAAAAAAAGTTAAATGATAGATATGTAGTCTAAAATAGTGGATTTAACTTTTAAACTTCCAATCTATTGGAAATAAATGAGCAAGGGTAATAGATCTATCAGAAACTGTAGTGGTTTTCAGTAGAAGTATAAACTTCACAATAATTAACCAAACTGACTGGTCCTTCTGCATTGATTTAAATTGTCAATATTTAAAGAGCTGCTTTTGCTCCTTACCACGTAGCTGGCACTGGAGGCAGAATAATGACTAAGACAGAAGCCATGTTTACTCTTCAGAAGTTTATAGTCTGTGTTAGGGAAGTCATGAATTAAATAATGCTCTTCACAGTTTATTGAGAATGAAATATGGGAAGTTCAGTGAGGGAACTGGATTATAGGGTAGAGATACCTAATCTGATAAGAGTTGGGAAGGAGTTGCTAAAGAAATGGTGTTTAGATTGAAAAATCAAGGATGACTATAACAGTGAGTATAAAAGTAGTAGTGGGAGATTTTGGTTGAAAATGTTCTCTTGGTTTTGTGTACTATCAGGTTGGAACTGACCTGCCAGCAGGTTTTCAGAGGCAGTTAGCTGCCCCGGAGTAGATTGCCCCTCTCTTCCTGTGGAGCAACTGGTGAACTCCAACTGCTTGCCTTCAGGATTGCAGTTCAACTTCTTGCCACCAGAGAAAATGTAATAGTCTATGCACAATTCTTAAAACTAGTGAAAAAACAACATTTTCAAAAGCAGAAAATTTCAAGATGATTTTCATATTAAGGGGCTATTTTTGTGATTCTTGAACTTTTTAGTGGTCAGATACACAAACTTTGTCAATGAAGTTTTATGCTGTTAAATGTATTGATTTCTGGTTGCAACACCAATAGTTACTTATTTAAATGGCTGGTGCCATTTACTGTACTGTGCTTGCATGCATTTTTCTACTAATCCTCACAGTGACCTCCAGGAAATGTGTGCTGATAGCATCATCTTCTATGTGAGGAAATGGAAATTTAAAGAGCTTATGTGTCATACCTTGGTCTCTTATTTTAGTTATGGCAGTAGGAAAAGAAGAGTTTTATCATTGTAAAAACACTGTAGAGGTCCTGGGGGCAGTGACATCAACTGCTAACTTCACAAGGGGGAAGCATCAGTATCAGTAGTATCAACAGTTTAAAGCTGACTGATGTCAGACATGCTCCACACACCACATCCTAAACATTTTTTACCAAATCTAAAAGTGTCTGTGACACTTAAAATTTCTTCTCCTCTGTATTTGATAATTTATTGTAATGTCCATACATAGTTCACTGACAAACTCACCATGAGATATTCAGTATTCTTTTCTAGCACCACAACTCAAAGACATCAATAATTCTTCTGTCATCTTTATTTATATTTATTGTACAGGTTTCTGACATGTAGCGGGTAATTGAGAAGACCATGGCCTGAATCAGGCACACCTTAGTTTTCAAACAGACATCATTCCTCTTCAGCATTTTGGAGAGGTCTCTGATCCAACTTGTCCAGTATGTCTCCTGATTTCCTCACTGTCAGTGCTAACGGTGTTGATTCAAGCAGGATGAACTCATTGAATACTTTATTCCTTTCTGCATCTGAGATATTGGTCCTATAGTGAGGACCATTGTTTTCTTGAGATATAATCTCAAGAGATATAATCTAAGGCTGTAGTCCTTGATCTTCTGCAAGAGTTTCATATCCTCTTCACTTAAAGCAGGCAAAGCTTTGTCATCCGCAGAATGCAGATTAAGCCTTCTTTCAATCCTTCTGCCACATTCTTCTTCCAGTCCAGCTTTTGCCAGTTATTTGCTCAGCCACAGATTTAGTAGATACAGAGAAAGGATACAACCCTGACACACACCCTTGCTGATTTAAAACTATGTGGTTTTCCCTTGTCCCACTCTGATAGCAGCTTCTTGGTCTAGGTTTAGACTCCATATAAGCACTATTAAATGTTCTGGAATTCCTTTTCTTCTCAATGTTAGCTATAATTCAAGATCCACACAGGAAAATGCATTTGAATAGGCAATAAAATACAAATAGACATTCTTCTGGTATTCTCTCCTTTTAGCCAGTATCATGACATCAGCAATAATATCCCTGTTGCCTCTACGTCTTCTAAAACCAGTTTATTCTAGATGTTTCTGAATGATCTTCAATATTTTGCTTACATGAGATATTAATGATATTATTTGATAATTTCCACATTCTGTTGGATCACCGTTCTTGGGAATGGGGACGAACATGAATCTTTTCTAGTCAGTTGGCCTTATCAGGTATTTAAAGTTATTCTTCAGTGTCCTCTTAAAGTCCAGGTCTAGATTAGGTGGTTTAGGATCAGTCTTTATCCATGTCTCTTTCAGTTTGGAGAGATGGACAATTGAACCAGATCTAAAACTATCCTAGCTTTCAGTTTTCTACAAATGTGGATTATAATACTGTTTTTAAACTGTTATACAAATTTCTCGTGGTATTTAGAATCTTAAACTACAATGCTAAAGTGATACTAACTGCATATGCTGCTAGCATGCACATAGTTTTCCTTTGGGGTGTTTATGTTTTTTGTGTGACTGAGTTGGCTACATAGGGAATTAGAAGAATACACAGAGGCAGTGCATAAGCTCTCTTGAACCCTTGAAAGGCTTCTACCCTCTGCTTGTGGATAGCTACTCTCATTTCCAGATTTCCCTGTTAAATTTCTGGATTTCTCTAGCTATAATCTAAATTTTGCACTAACAAAATTGAGGCTTAGTCTTGTTAGTTCCCAGCCAAGTTTGCTCCTTTTTAAAGGGTTATGAGGTTTTTTTTGGGTCTAACCTCAAATCATGGCTCAGATCAAAGCCTGTGGCTCAACTCAAGTAAAATAATTGAGGTAGGATGGTTGCATTTGGCAGTTTAAATCCACCACCTGCTCTATGGGAGATAAGGCAGTCTCCACCTGTTACGATTTACAGCCTTAGAAACCTGATGGAAGATCATGATAAAATGGAACCAACTTGATGGCAGTTCATTTTTGAGTTTGAGATGAGTTAGGACAGTGAGAATCCATTTAGTCAAGGTCATACACTCCTTTTCTTCTTATCGAAAAGTCACACAATTAAAAAAAAAACACACAACACAACCAACCTAACAAAAAGCCAAATCACATATTAATGTTTTCTTCTATAGATCAGTAGCCAGCACCTTGAGTTGATTGTTTTTAGTAATTTTGTTATATACATCCCCTTCCCTTGGATAGCAGTGGTCAGCTTCTTTACACTTTCATAACTGTAGTTCTCTCCTTGTACTCTGCTTTGGATTCCTTATTTATTTTCCCTTTTGTGTTGTGTAGCTCAGTGGAATTACACTTAACCTCATGAGTCAAAAGGTATGTGTAGTGCAAAGGGAAACTGGGAAAGGGGAAGAGAAAAAAAAGATAGTAACAGGTGTTTTTCCCATTCTGCTTTGCTCAGTAATCTCAAGCCCTTACACAGATATGAAAATTGAGACATGAATCAGATACTTATTAGTACTCTGTCCAACTTGTCAACTGTATTTAATTTTCCTATAATAATAACATCCCCCATCCAATGGAAGGCTTTTAATCTTCTGTCCCATAAAAATACAGTGTTCTTTTGCCAAAAGGAAAGATACTTGCATAGGATTTAATGAGAAATACTGTTGGCATTCACTAATGCAGCAGTTAATGTGTCTGTAGACACTGGGACCTTTACGGAGAATCCACAGGGCTTCAGTTTTCATGAAAACACTAAGGTATCATTTGCCATTTTCACTGTTACACATGGGTAAAAGATCCATTCAAAATACAAGAATGACTTAATGGATTTAAATTGAACAAAAGTATAATGGTTTACTGGTTCATTGTAATAGATTATCCATTAAAATTATCACTTGTCAAATATTTGTGCTTTACCAAGGAAAAGTATCAAGAATTATATGAATAAGCTATGAAATTACCCTCGCTTTCTGTCTACGTCTGAATTATCTTTTTTTTTTTTTTGCGAGCATAGAGCACGCCCATTTATACATCTACCTGTCCTGCATGTGCACATGTGTGTGCTATCAGTGAATCTCTACAGAAGAGACAATAGGGCTTCTCGTGTTAAAAATCCAAAATACAACTCTGACTTAACGACTAGTAGAGCCAAAATGTGATGGGAAGCCACCACAGACCAGGGGCTCCCGACCACAAGTGAAGGCACTGGGCTAGGCAGGGCCTGGGACGGCGCCACCTGGATTTGGATGGTTGACCCCTTAGCCAGCTCCACAGCTCTGCCCAGGACTGGGGTCCTCACCCCTTGTCCAGCCCAGGGCTGGGAGCAGTTATTCCCCAACCGGCTCCTCCTGGGGCCTCTAGGAGGTGGTGGCATTCTTGGCCTTGGGAGGCTCTGACTCCGTCAACAGGGAGATGGTTGGGTCCTCTGTGCAGTCGTCTCCCTCGGAGAAGTAGGAACCATCCCCCAGCTCAAAGAGCACAGGCAGGTCACTGCCCCCCATGTCCACGGGTCCAGGGTCCACCAGAAACAAGGGTTGTGCTGTGTAGTGCACCAACTGCTTCCCTGAGTCCTGGCTGCTGCCCTCAGCCTCCAGGGGTCTGGGAGGCTCCTGGGGGGTAAGCAGCTCCTGGATACTGGCCAGGCTGCTGTCCAGGTCCGTCAGGCTCATGTCCGGGACAGTCACTGAAGGGCTGAAAAGATCCATCAGGGCGCTGGTGTCCACACTGAAGCCATGGCTGCTCAGCATGGTCTGCAGGTTGTCCAGGTTGGAGTCCATGGCGTCCAGGTGGTCACTGAGCTCGTTCTTGTCCAGGCAGGCCACGCTGAGGCACTTCTCTGGGGCTGAGGCAGGCAGGGGCGTGGGGTTGTGGTCCCCTTCCTGTGCAGGCTGGGTGGCTGAGTGGGTGGTAGTGGGTTCGCTGTCCCGCAGAATGGAATCGATAAGGGCAGTTGGGGACAGGGGTGTGTCCACCTCAGAGGATGGTGGCCCAGGGCTCACCACCTCTACCTGTGGGCTCTGAAGGGGGCTGGGCGGCTCCTCTTTGACGTGCACCCAAGCACTGCCGGACAGGGGCCTCTTGTCAATACTTCTGCCAGAGACGGGTGAAGGGCTGACGGGCAAGGGGCCAGCAGGAACCAACTCCGTGATGTCAGAAATGATGGGGCCGGAGCTAGTGTCTGGGGAGAAGACGCTGGAGCCGCTGTAGGCTGGGGATGTGGCTGCCACTGGGGCCGTGGTGTGGACGTGCTCCAGTGAGTACTGCTGGCCATACTTGGGCATGGGGTGGGCCGCACCATCGCCCAGCATCAGGGGGATATTTCTCTTCACCCCCAGGATCCGGTTGGACTGTACCAAGGAGATGAGGAACTGGATGAGCTTGTTGACAACTTTCTGTTGCTGAGCATGCTTCTGCCGCAGGCTGGCCACCTCCCTCCACAAGGCTTCATTTTCATGCTTCATGGTCAGCAGCTTGGAGTCCATGCTTTCCTGCTTACCCTTCATCAGCTGCACGTTAGTCAGCAGTCTGGTGACACTATCCTGGCGAATCTTTATGTCTTCATTCTTGAGGGTAGACACACTGGTCCCTTTCCTCTTGATGTCCAGAAGCTGCTCCTGGCCACGCAGGAAGCATGTGTGCTGGAACTCAGTGTCGTCCTTCTCAGGCTTGACCAGGCCCCCATGCTCGATGTGAACCACTTTCCGGAAGCCGGCCATGTTGTTGTGCTTGAAGTACTTGGGCAGTACCTCCTTGGCAAACTGGCCCTGGTCCAACACATGGAAACTGTTCCCGTTCGGGCTCCAGCAGATGAGCGCGTGGGTGTCCGGGTCGCTCACGAGGGTCCACAGCTTGGTCAGAAAGGCCAGGACGTTGCTGGGCCCTGCCGTGCCGGGCCCTCAGGAGGAGGTGGAGACAGTGACCGAGGGCAGAGGCCAAGGGCCCAGCTAACGCCTTCGTTGCACCTGCTGCCCGCGCCACGCCGCCTCGGCCGCCCTCTGCGCACACACAGCCCCGGGGCCTAGCATGGCTGCTGCCATCTTGCAACGCGCGCGCTTCCACGGACAGGACCCATCGGCGGCGTCCTCGGCGGTGCGCGCTGAATTATCTTTATGAGTCAACCAAATTAGCATCTTAAAACGGGTTGAATACTGATGCACATAAGAGATCCAGCTGTTTTATCTTGGGGGGAGGAACCCCCCCAAACTTTCAAAACTCATTGCACTCAAGTTGGAACCAAGTCATAATTGACATAAAAGTAGGTTTTTCAGAGGCTATCAACCAGGGCTGGTGGATTTGAACTGCTAGAGTTGTACAACCTTTAGGTTATCAGTGCAGCTACACACTATACCACCATAGCTTTCTTGGACTGATGTTAACTAAAAACAAACAATATTTCTCATTAATTCCTATGCAATTACCTTACATTTTGACAAAAAACCCCACTCTCTTTAAGTAGCCGTTGTGGTGGTGTTTAGTACCTCAAGTCTAGCACAACTCCTAAGGACCCTGTGAACAACAGATCTAAACCCTGCCCTGTCCTGTACCATCCTTATCATCCTCTACACTCTTGAGCCCGTTGTTGCAGTCATTGTGTCATTTCATTTTATAGTTTTCCTCTTTTGCTGACCTTCCACCCTTCCAAGCATGATGTCTCTTTCCAAGGAGTAGTCTCTTTCAAGTATGTGAGATGAAGCTTTGCCACCCTTGTCTCAAAGAAAGACCCTGGTTGCACTTTTTTTTTTTTTTTTTACCAACGGATAGTCAATTTATTAAAATAGTTGATTTAGGCATCTGCAGTGGTGACTTCAACCTCTACTCCAGGCTCAATGCTGATGGAGGTGATCTGCTTGACAATCTCAGAAGGACTGTGTAAGTCAATGAGTCGCTTGTGCACTTTTTTTAAGATCTGTTTGTTGTTTTGGCAGTCCATAGGATATTCAGCACTCTTCCCTAATACCACAACACAAAGGCATCAATTTTTCTCCTGTCATCCTTACTCATTATCCAACTTTCAGATGTATAGCAGGAGATTGGAAAGACTATTCCTTGAATCAGGCACACCCTATTCTTTGAACTGATAAAATTTTTCGTTGTGAGCAAGGATGTTGATTGTAGAGCTAAGCAAGATAAAACCATTGACAGTTTTCATTCTTTTCTCCATCTGTTGTGATGCTTCCTTTTGATCCAATGGTGAGGATTTTTGTTTTCTTGATCTTGAGATGTAATCCATAGTGAAGGCTGTAATTTCTTTTTTTTTATTTTTAATTTTTTTTTAAAATTATTTTTTTTAATTTTTATTTTTGTGTGAGTGTACCGTCAAATCAGATCTGACTGGTACAGGAGGAGATTGTCCCTCCTTTTCCCGGCAGAGCATCTGGTGGATTCGAACCGTGTGCCTCTGGGATTGTAGTTGTAGGTCCTTGCCACTAGGCCACCAGAGCTCCCCTAGGCTGTAATTTCTTGATCCTCTGCAGCAAGCATCTCAAGTTCTATTCATTGTCAGAAAGTGAGGTGGTGCCATCTGCTTTAACACAGGGTGTGGGTGAATCTTCCTCCAGTCCAGTCTTTGATTACTAATACAAAAAAATTGAACACCTGTTTATCAGATATATAATGATTCTTCATTCTCAAATTTTTTTAAAGAGTCCTCTTGAGACCAGAAAGTTGAAGAACTGCTGCTGCACAATGGATTTTTAAATATGACCTAAACTTTATATGACTTCCAAATAGAGATGGTTACACTCCACTGTAACTTGCAGTGACTTTTAGGACTCTGAACTTTATTTACGTTAGTATAGTAATAGCACACCTAAATTGTTCAGTGGAAACACAAATAAAACTTCTCTCTCCTCCTATAAGTTGCTGCTCAATTACAGGTCTGCTTATTAAATGTTTACTGAGCTTTCATTATTAAATGGGTAAACAATGGCTATGAGTCACGATCACCCAGCAGCACCTAGTAACGTCAACAGCAATATGTGTGCCACTTACTGTTATGAATTGATGAAAACTTTCTGATGATATGAGAGACATGATATCTTCAACATTAAAAAGTAGCCTGAGAAGGTGAATTAACAATTTTATAAGGATTACTAGAGAAATTATGCTGTGGTGTAAGGGAATTAGAGGAGTGGAGTCATTGTCAGTTCATGCTGGGATCACACCTTAATAGTTATACGTTCTGCTGTCAGGACCAGTTTGTTGCCAGTTAGAGAGCCCATTTCCTGTAGTGTATTCTTGTGTATTACAGGCATTCCTGCCTACTGTGGCACCTGTAGACACATAGCACTCTGGGGATGTGTACTTCGAATGTGTGGATAATTTAAAAAGTAAAAAGATTCATAGTGTGCATCATGGTAGATATTTCTCCTTTTAACATAGTACTTTTTGGTAATTATCCTTTCATGTTCTTAGCTGAAGAGCAACCTCTTTTTAAAAGCAGCACAATATTTTATTAGTGGAACAGTTTGCTTACTTGTGCTCTTTGAATATATGTTAATCCCCCTCCCATTATTTTGTTATTGTTTTGTACTTAGAGTCAGAAACAACCCATAGCTGACCCTCCAGTGGGTCTTCAAAGGCAGTTAATTGCTCGGGAAGAGATTGCCCATCCTTCTCCCGCATCCATATATAGTTTAAATCTTTTAAAGATAGCGTTAGGAATAGAATTGTAGGGTTAAAGAATATACACACTTAACATTTTTGTACTTGTTGATGGGTTTCCTTTGAGAGAAATACCAATTTACACTTTTGTTTATTGAGTTTAACAGTATCAGTTTCCCTATAGTCTCTCTAGCCTTGTTAATTGTGTCTTAACTTTTTTTTTACTAGGTTGGTAGGTGAAAAACAAACACCTCATTGTTTTAATTTACATGTTTTTACTGTTAAAGTTGAACTTTTTACTAAATTTTGATTTTTTGGTATAGGTTTTAAATGAAAAATAATTTTAAAATTGTTATATTACAAGAAATCTAGGCAATTCAAAATACTTGTGATTTTCTTGAAATTTTATGAGCTCTTGTTGTGTGCCACAACCGATTCCTAGCTGACCCTTCAGCACTGTTTTCAGAGGCAGTAAATCATCCTCCTGCAAAGTAGGAACCACATACCTTTGGGATTACAGTGTAGCTACTTACAACTAGGCCACCAGAGCTTCCTTATTAAGTATTATGTTTCCATGAATACTTTGTTTCTTGTTCCCCCATCTTAATTAATTCTTTTATCTATTTCAAGAAAGAGCATCAAAGGTGGTTAATTTTATAAAACATAATTTATGGGAATGATTGTAGGAAACACAATGTAAATACAGGAATGTGTGAAACAGTGTACATAAATGAAACAATATATATGAATTTTGTATACAAACTAATAATGAAAAAGAATTTAAAAACAAAATAACAGAGAAAAAATAAGTGCTAAAATAAAAGAACTAAAGGATGGGAGTAAAATTTGTAACCTCTTTTTGAGACTCAGACATTCTTCTAAATCCTTTCAAACACCAAAAAAAAGGTTGGTGCCAATTTTTTGTTTTCTGTACATCCTAGGCAAGCATCTATATCTTGTTTTTGTTGTAGTTGTGGACTGTCGATTCAGAACCAACCCAGAGCTGACCATATGGAGGGTTTTCAGAGTCAGGTAATTGCTCAGGAGGAGATTGCTCCTCCTCCTGTGGAAGTACAGTTGGTGGCCTACAACCATGTGCCTTCAGGATGGCAGTGCATCTTCTTGCCACTAGTCCACCAGAGCTCCCTGTCTTAGCACTTTTAATTTTCATTTAAAAAGACCTTAAGCCCTGTGAAGTCAGAGACTGTTTTATCCATGACATTTAACATGTTACTTGCTATATGCTTGATGTGTTTTTATATATTTTTTAAATAATGTTTTGTTGAGGTTTTAGAGTTTGTACAAGTTAGATTTCTGCTTGATACATTGTAGGAAAATGGTTTAGTAATATTAGTTAAAATGTGTCAACATACTCTTTAATTGGGTTTTCCCTTCTAGGCCTTCTGGTTTCCCCTGCCTCTTACCTTTTCATCTCTGGTTTGGAGGAATTGCAGATCATTAAGTCTTATACTAATGGTTTTAAAGTAGGGTACTGATCTGTCCTTTGTTTTGTGTGCTACACTGCCATTTCATTTAAATGTGATCTTGACCTTGGTTCTAGATTTAAGGAATACCACAGGGTAATAGTCTCAGGGAACCTTTGGTGCACTATTTATTGTTCCAGTTTGTGTGACCATCTTTTCCCCTATGTATATTTTAAAAAAGAAAAAGATGAAGAATTTGAATTTTGTGCTACTTTTTGCCCCCATTCTATGTGGGACCTTTTATTGTGATCTCTGTTGAAATGGTCAGTTGTATTAGTGAGGTACTATCTGGTTTTTTTGGTCCCAGGGGAGATAAGGTTGTGGCTTATGACACACTCAGAACTCAAAATCACTGTCATTTACTTGATTCGGACTAAGCACTTCTCCATCAAGTTTTAAGGCTACAAATCATAACTGGAGAAGACTGTCCATCTCCTTCCTTCATGGCTGCTGAACGACTTGAACCAGCAAAGGTGCTTTGTCTTTGGGTTAGCAGGGCAACTCACTGCGGACCTTGCCACCAGAATTCCCTTGTAGCTTGAGTAGACTTGATTTTCTTTAAACTTATGTTTACCTTTAAGAAGGTTCTTAGTGTGGTGTTTCCATAGTTGTGTCTTATCTGTTCACCGACATTTAAGACCTCAGATGCAATTTATTTCAGTAGGATGCAGATGATGATTTTTATGAACTATGTTAGGCCGGTTGACTGAGTTGTCACAGAGCAAACATGGAAAAATAAGGGGCAGGGAAACCAGAGTACTAAAAAGGGAACAGAGTTAACACAAAGAGAATGTTGACAAATGGAAATAAATGTAACTAATATCAGTGAACAGTTTGCATGGTAGGATTATGATATAGTCCTAAACTTTCAAATTCAGGTAACTAGTATTGGAAGGTGCTTGGTTAGTATCTGAAAAGCATCTCATTTTTGCATGTGTACATATATGACCTTATAGGTACTTCTGCAACCAAGGTGCTCCTTAGAGGTAAGGATGGTGAAACTTTGTTCTGGACATATTTTGGTCATGTTATTCAGAGGATAA